GTGTTCCTATTTCACTTACTGAATATTATTCAATTTTATTTATTTATTTTTCTGAGACAGAGTCTCGCTCTGTCTCCCAGGCTGGAGTGCCATGGCACAATAGTGGCTCACTGCAATGATACTGGCTCACTGCAAACTCTGCCTCCTAGGTTCAAGCGAGTCTCCTGCCTCAGCCTCCCAGTAGCTGGGATTACAGGTGCCTGCCTCCACACTCGGCTGATTTTTGTATTTTTGCTGGAGACTAGGTTTCACCATGTTGGCCAGGCTGATCCTAAACTCCTGAACTCAAATGATCCACCCACCTCGGCCTCCCAAAGTACTGGGATTACAGGTGTGAGCCACCGTGCCAGGCCTACTTCATTTTATTTTATTTTATTTTTGAGATAGTCTTGCTCTATTGTCCAGCCTGGAGTGCAGTGGTACAATCTTCACTTACTGCAACCTTCCCCTCCTGGGTTCAAGCAATTCTCATGTGTCAGTCTCCCAAGTACCTGGGATTACAGGCACAGGCCACCATGCCCAGCTAATTTTTGTATTTTTAGTAGATACAGGGTTTCACCATGTTGGCCTGGCTGGTCTCAAACTCCTGACCTCATGTAATTTTCCCACTTGGCCTCCCAGTGTATAAGGATTACAGGAGTGAGCCACCAAGTGTGGCCTGTTCAATGTATTCTGAATTTTTAAAATTACTTTATACAGTTTTTATAGTTGCTTTTAAAAATTTTATAATTTTTTTAATGGGGTCATGTTGCCCAAATATTTTGTATACATTGTAATCTTTGAGAGTCAGACATAACAAAAAGCTACCTGTTACAATCTTTATAATACAGCTTTGTCCTGGTGTAGTCTGAAATAAATTGTCTTGGCTGGAGATTCTGAGAATTTCTCAAAAATGTTTTTAGGATGAGTCTTGTCTAAAATTTTGTATTTATTGATTAATTAAATCAGTTTATTCATATTTCTTCTTAGTAGTCATTTGCTACACCCCTTTCCTGTTTGGGTTCCTGCAGTTTCTCCGCTTCTGTAACATTTACCTTTAGACTCAGCAGACTCAAACTGTCATTCCAATGTATATCACCATTTCTTTCAGCATTTTATGTCATGGGAGACATTAACCAGTGTCTGAAAAAGTTCCTAGAAGCCGGAAATAAAGATGTATGTGCCAATATTTTTCTTATTATTTTTTTTTTTTTAAATAAACCAGGAGTTGGCAATTTACATTTGTGTGTGTCTATGTGTGTGAGAGACGGTCTCTTTCTGTTACCTAGGCTGGAGTGCACGGGCATAATCTTGACTCCCTACAATCTCTGCCTCCACAGTTGAAGCAGTTCTCCTGCCTCAGCCTCCAGGTACCTAGGATTAAAGGTGCCTGTTACCATGTCTGGCTAATTTTTTTTTTAAATTTTTAGTAGAGTTGGGGATTCATCATGTTGGTCAGGCTGGTCTCAAACTTTTGACCTCAGTTGATCCACCTGCCTTGCCTTCCAAAAGTGCTAGGAATACAGGCACAAGCCATTATGCCTGGCCAGCAATTTACCCTTTTTTTTTTTTTTGAGACAGAGTCTCCCTTTGTTGCCCACACTGGAGTGCAGTGGCGCAATCTTGGCTCACTGCAACCTCCGCCTCCCTGGTTCAAGCAATTCTCTACCTTTGCCAGGTAGCTGGGATTAAAGGTATCCTCCACCACATCAGGCTAATTTTTTTGTGTTTTTAGTAGAGATGGGGTTTCATCATCTTGGCCTGGCTGGTCTTGAAGTCTTGACCTCGTGATTCACCCACTTCTGCCTTCCAAAGTACTTGGATTACAGGCATGAGCCATCATGCCCAGCTGGCAATTTACTTTTGAAAGCACAATGTTATACTGGACAGCAGGAAGAGCTGTGTTGAGTATAAGTGACAGAGCTTTCTTTTTCTTCTATATGGCTCCTTTGCATTGTGCTCACCTGTGGCCCTTCACACACTTAACTCATTTATAAATTTTTTACAAATGTATTTTGGTCAGTATGTTTTTGTTAAATTTATATGTCCAGGAAGAAATTGCAGTTGGTGGTATTTTGCTATGTCATCTTGCTTATGTAGTTTGTATAATTTTATTGGTTAGATTTGCAAAGTATATTTTTCTGAGTCTAGCAATTGAAGTAGTGTGTTTTCGTTGTTTCTTTCAGTTATGTGTTCTCATTTTGCCCAAGAACTTTGGCCAGAGCAGAGCATAAAAGATTCTTTCCAAAAAGTGATACTGAGAAGATATGAAAAATGCAGACATGACAATTTACAGTAAAAAAAAAAAAGGCTGTAAAAGCATGGATGAGCGTAAGTTGCACAAAAGAGATTATAATGGACTTAACCAATGTTTGACAAATACCTAGAAAAAAATATTTCAATGTGATAAATATGGAAAAGTCTTTCCTAAGTTTTCAAATTCAAACAGACATAAGATAAGACTTACTGGAAAAAGTCCTTTCAAATGCATAGTATTTGGCAAAGCTCTTAACTGGTCCTCAACCCTTACTACCTGTAAGAAAATTCATACAGGAGAGAAACTTTACAGATATAAAGCATGTGGCAGAGATTTTAATCAATCTGCAAACCTTACTACACATCAGAGAATTTATACTGGAAAGAAACCCTACAAATGTAAAGAATATGGCAAAGCCTTTAAGCACTCCTCAAACCTCACTACACATAAGAAAATTCATACTGGAGAGAAATCCTACAAATGTGAAGAATGTGGCAAAGCCTTCAATGGGTCCTCAGACTTTACTACACATAAGTTAGTTCATACTGGAGGGAAACCTTAAAAATGTGAAGAATGTGGCAAAGCTTTTAACTGGTCCTTAGCCCTTAATAAACATAAGAGAATTCATATTGAACAGAAAACCTACATAGTGAAGAATGTGGCAAATATTTTAAATGTTCCTCCACTTTTAATAAGCATAAGATAATTCATACTGGAGAGAAACTCTATGAATGTGATGAATATGGGAAAGTCTTTAACCAGCCCTCAGCTCCTACTACATAAGAGAATTTATATGGAACATAAACCCTACAGATATGAAGAATGTGATAAAGCTTTTTAACAAAGTTCTCAACCCTTGTTACACATAATTCATACTGGTCAGAAACCCTACAAGTGTGAAGAATGTGACAAAGCCTATAACAAGTTCTCAATTCTTTTTTTTTTTTAAATTGAGATGGATTTTCACTCTTGTCACCTAGGCTAGAGTGCCATGGCAAGATCTCAGCTCACTGCAACTTCCACCTCCTGGGTTAAAGCCATTCTCCTGCCTCAGCCTCCCAAGTAGCTGGGATTACAGGTGCATGCCCACCACTACACCTAGCTAATTTTTGTATTTTTAGGAGAGATGGGCTTTTGCCATGTTTGCCAGGCTGGTCTCCAACTCCTAACCTCACGTGATCCACCTGCCTTATCCTCATAAAGTGCTGGGATTACAGGCATGAGCCACAACACCTGGCTGTAAGTTCTGAACTCTTGAGACATGGCGCTAATTCATGCTGAAGAGCAAATCTACAAACCTGAAAGACGTGACAGTGCTTTTACCAACACCTCCAAATTTCCTATACATAAAAATAAATTATACTAGCGTGATACCCCAGAAATGTATAGAATGTGACGAAGGCTTTATATGGTTGCCACACTGGATTCTATGGCAGTATGCTTGTTTGGCAGTATGATTGCCATACTGTCAAAACTCCTACAGTGTGAAGAATGTGGCAAAACTTTTAATCAGTGCTTACACCTTATTTCACAGGAAAGCTATTATCCTTGAGAAAAATTGTACAAATATAAAAATGTGGAAGAACCATTAATGCCTACTCACTGGAACAAAACAAATAAATAAAATTGGAGCATTTATTGGAACAAAACAAATAAATAAGGTGACTAATAGAAAACTAAACACCTCAAAAATGCTGAAAGCAAATGTATACTTTCTGCTTTGTCTTGAATTTATTTATTTATTTATTTTATTATTATTATTTTTTTGAGACAGAGTTTCACTCTTGTTGCCCAGGACCGAGTGCAATGGCACGATCTCAGGTCACCTCAAGCTCCACCTTCTGGGTTCAAGCGATTCTCCTGCCTCAGCCTCCCCAGTAGCTGGAACTATAGGCATGTGCCACCATGCCCAGCTAATTTTTTTGTGTGTTTTTAGTGCAGAGAAGATTTCACCATGTTGGCCAGTCTAGTCTTGCACTCCTGACCTCAAATGATCCGTCCACCTCAGCCTCCCAAAGTGCTGGGATTACAGGCGTGAGCCACCACACCCAGCCTGTCTTGAATTTATTAATGTAAAATGTTATGGCTTATGGGCCTTGCGCGGTGGCTCACGCCTGTAATCCCAGCACTTTGGGAGGCCGAGACGGGCGGATCACGAGGTCAGGAGATCGAGACCATCCTGGCTAACACGGTGAAACCTGTCTCTACTAAAAATGCAAAAAAGTAGCCGGGCGTGGTGGCGGGTGCCTGTAGTCCCAGCTACTCAGGAGGCTGAGGCAGGAGAATAGCATGAACCCAGGAGGCGGAGCTTGCAGTGAGACGAGATTGCGCCACTGCACTTCAGCCTGGGCGACAGAGCGACGCTCTGCCTCAAGAAAAAAAAAAAAAAAAAAAAAGAGTAACAGTCTTGAGTAAACAATAAAAGCCTTCTCCAAACAGAAAAAAAAAAAAAAATCCTTTTAACACTTATTTTAATGAAAATTTAACCAACATTGAATACTTGGATATATTTTTATTGTTCTATACGTGTGTGAATGCATAAAATGCTACATAAAGGAAAATAATTTAAGCCAGAAAAAAGATGTAAGTTAATATTTGTAATGAATAAATTGGGAAGTAGTTAATTATTATTTGCAGATGATATCTTTGTTTATGCAGATATCAAAAGGAGCAGAAAGACTATTTTAAAAGTTTATTAAGGTGGGTAGGCAATATTCTAAAATAATACCTTGGATTCCCAGTCTGTTGCACACCTGCTGTGTAATACTTTCCTCTTCAGTGTAAAAAAAAATATGTGACTGTGGTGGGAAATCACTCATGAAATTAGGTTCCTCATGTGTTGACTTTGTGTTTATCAAAATGGAGATTGTCTTGATTGTGTTAAACTTAATCAGAGGTGCTTTTAAGAGAAAGAGACACATAGAAAAATGCCGCTGCTGGCCTGAAAGTAAGTGACTTCTAGGTGGAACATGTTGCAAGCTGCTTATGGTGGTCACACAGCAGGAAACATGATTAAATACTGTCATGGTTCCTGCCTCCTTCATGTCGTTTCCAGTATGAAGAATAAGAGAATCCTATGGCAGAGGGAAAAAAAGGGAACCTCATTCATACAAGAAATAATCACCTCTCACCTGGGATAGCTTAAGAGAAACAGGAGACCACAACAGGACCACATTAACGGGAGGAAAAGGGTAATCTGGGTAAAAGTGCTCACTGGCATTATGGAAGAACACTTAGCAAGTTGTAGTGAATGATAAGCCTCTGGGATACCGAGAGTCTACCAAAAAGGCTGAACTCATTCTAATTCAATCAGCATGTCTGCCCCATTCTGGTGACCCAGGTTTACACTATTCATTACAGAAATACCATGAAGACCAGTGGGTAATATCCTAGAATTGAACTTATTTCAAAAAGCATACCTAATTACTTGTTTTCACATTTAAAAACCTTAAAAACAATGGATTTATAAATAATTAACTTCTAATTATAGATGAGTCCATTATACTGTAATACAAGATTAAACTGTAAACACCTTAATATGAGTATTTCTTGAATTCATGATTAGTTATGTAGATAGTTTCTTTCAAATTAACATGACAAAAGTAACAATTAGAGAAAACATTTGAAATGAGATAAAATGAATCAAAACCACATCTCAATGGCTTGGTGTAATTGCCATGCTTTTGGAAATGGCCAGATGACTAACAAGAAACAAAGATTTTGGTTTTGCTCAATGATTGTTTTTGACCTTAGAAATCTAAAATCCTGACTAAAGTATTCAAAGGGAATATTTTATAGGTGGCTTCTCACGGTTGCCAAGGCAACAAAAGAGAAATTCTGATAGGTAGGAAAATACACACTATATACACACATTGCTCTTCTCTGATTTACTTTAACATTGAAAAATTGAGGATTGTAAAGTCAGTCTCAATTTAGAGTACAATTAAAAGATTTGTTTTTCAAAAAAAGCAAATGTATAAAATTAATGGGTAACAGATGCCATTAGTTGTTAAAAAATAGTATGACTGGCCGGGCGCGGTGGCTCAAGCCTGTAATCCCAGCACTTTGGGAGGCCGAGACGGGCGGATCACGAGGTCAGGAGATCGAGACCATCCTGGCGAACAC